ACCATTCATTGCCGAGTCACACCTTGGACAACTCGTACCTTGTGTAAGAGACAACTCGTACCTTCACAGAAATCAGAGCTTATTATAGCTCAACTGCAGAATACCCTGCCATCACCCCACATGATCAACCTCATAGCCAGGTACAGGTCAAAGTGTCACACTCTTCTCAAGGGATTTTCACCTTGTACCCACGTAACAAGTCGTTCCAGGGGTTGTTTTTTCGAGTGGCGGGGTAGGCTGCAATTACTCCGAGCTTATTATTATTGTGATTAACTTGAACAATAATTTGTTTGATTTCTTAGTCACTGTTAGTCGTGTGTACTCCCAGAACTGTAAGGTTTATTACACAAATCTTGTAGACAGCCATGTACAGACTTCCATAAACACATTTTGGCCGTTTAGCTTGTTCCAACTTATTCTGCCATCACAGCTTCTTGTGCAACCAAATTTCATACATGCCTTCTTGGTGAAGTTAAATGTCTGCTGGGGAGGTTTATTCACCTTATATCCTCATTAAAAGAGAAAATTCTTGAGCATTTTGCCCATCCATACAACAGACTATCAGCAGCATGTACTCTCAATCACTGTCAGCTGTGTGATAGCTTGACCAATCGCAACACAGCTCCTATCTTTTCCTTTTGTTTTCCTGACCCCATCCAAATGAAAGCTGAGCTGTGATTAGTCATTAGAATGGAAGTAAAGTGGACCAATCACAGCGCAGCTTTCATCTGTGGCTGACAGGAAAACAAAAGGAAAAGATAATTTGTTTTTATTGTGCAGGGACCAAATTACAGAAATGTATCCCATCCCAGGCCACCGTCATTGGTCAGAAAAGAAAAAGAACGACAAGGAAAACATCTGTTTTTTATATTAATCATCAACAAAGAGCAGGCCGATATGTCTTTTTTTTGAAGATGGGTTGGCCAAAAACAGACAAAGACACTGACTGGAGAGGGACTTTCACTTAACGAGCAAATTCCAGAACATCTTTGTTCACGGATGCTGTTGTCAGATGCCATTTGTGTCCTACTTCCTAAACACGGTGGGGAGTTTTCTATGAAATTCCGACTGGTAAAAGGAAATCGTTTAATAAATGCAAGCATTATAATGCATGCTGTACATATTCTCTGCTGATTGGGCCAGGGGGGTATGAGTTGACTTGGGTAGAGCCAACCTGGGTACAAGTTAACTCGGATGCGAGTTGACTAAGCACCGTCGATATACCGGTATTGATATTATCGATATGGGTTTGATATTGATATCGCCGATGTTAGTTCATTTGGTAATATCAGTATATCGAAAATATTGGATTCTGGAGAAATATTGAAAATACTGAAATTTCTAAAACATCGATATTGAAAAATATATCGAAAATGTCGCTACTAAGGAACAAACTTTATTGAAAATATGAAAGTGCATCGTCACATTACCGTAATTTTCGATAAGCCACGGCTTACGTTGGTTCTCACATTGAGTGAAAAATGTCCAGGGACATATAAGCTGCCCAGAGTATAAGCTACAGGGCTGTAGCTTATACTCTGGGCAGCTTATATGGCGACATTTGAATTCAGTCACCTGTTTCAGTCTCGCACTCAATAATTCGCGTACACTTTGCCTCAAAAATATCACAAATTTTATCCTCCAAAACAGGTAATTATTTGCTAACCAAACCTACATACATAGACTAGCACTGTTTGCTATTGATATCGCTATGCGTGGCAGCGTGTATCCCATCCTATGTAGGCAATGTACGCAATACGGACACTGGAACATGTGGCCAAAGTGAATTGGATCACACCATTACAGTGTAGGGGTGTACCCTTAGAACAGTTTATCACAAATTTACGCATGTAATCATACACATACTTTCATACTTACATACTGAAATGAATAAATTTGATATATCGATAATATCGATATAAAAAATGATGTATTGGCCAAAATACGATATCAACGTGGCTAGAGTTGACCCTGAAATAAATAAAACATGGATGCATATTTTTGGGTACGAGTTGACTGGGGTATGAGTTAACCTGGGTACGAGTTGACCCATTTTGGCTGATTGGCACCTAACGTGTGCACCATGCCCACTGCATTAAGAATTTAAGTTCCACTCATCCGTACTCATCCATACTCTAATAAATTCTAATCGGCCGTATCATTGTGGTACTTGGGTAGAGTGAACATCCTTTGTGTCATATACTGTAACACCTACGTGTGTGTGTACGTAGGCACACACATCCTGCCATGCTTGTAGGCCTTATACATGGAAACACAATTATCCTTGACAGATCTTTGTCATAAATAGTCTCAGGAATCATTTTAAAGGCAGGAGTTTTGTGTGATCTCCACCACTGGTACTTTGGATTTCTCAAATAATTTTTCCTTTTTTTTCCCGTGGATATTGTCGGACAGCTTTGCAGATCTTATTTTCCTGATCATTTTTCCGTAGTGAGACAACTGACGGGGGTACTTAGATGGAGGGGTTCTTGGTCAAGGATTCCTTGACGGTGCTGACGCAGAATGGCGAGTGCTCCATCCAGCTGTGTCTCGGCGACATTACCAAGCTGAAACACAAGGACAAAGTGGATGTGATTCTCATTTCAGCTTTCCAAGGTAAAGTTTTTTTTTCAGGAGAATCGAGTGTAGACATTCCACTAATGAATTCTGTGCATAAGTGAACTCGTGATAGTGGCAATCTTTACTTATAGGACACCAACATTTTTGTTTCACACAATGTTTAAACTTTGCACAAGATGTGTATCAATCCAAAACTATCTTTGCAGCCTTTGAAGTCTTCCAAGTCCTCCTTGTATCCAACTAAAGTCATTTTGTGTTTCACAGTACTTAGTCTTTATGTCCTCAGATGTTCGGTCTGAGGTTTTACGTACATGTATTTGACCAAGTCAGATGATGGCCTTTGTGAAAAGCTATTCATCATAATTCTAATCATTTTCATGTTACAGAATGTTTCGCTTTTGGGCATAACTTCAACTCAGATTTAACTGCATGCTTTTTAGTTTGACAATTGAAAAGGGCGTAGCGAAAGACATATTTTGTGAGATTTTTTTTAGTCTTTACGCATGCTCTGAGCTGTGAACCTTCATCAGTAACTCTGGCCTGGAGCAATGATATTAGGAACATGTATGGAATGGATGGAAGTTTTTAAAAAAACGACATTCCAACACTTTTTGGTTCCAAAATGTGAGTCTTCCGTATACATGTACGATGATTCTGTGTTTGATTCTAGCCACAAAACTTCTAAACCAATTTTGTTTTGATTTAGCTTGTAGCAGTTTGTTGCATTCTCAAAATACTTAATAAATATTTTTCAAATGCAAAACAAATCAAATGGTCACAAGTTTTAGATAACTGAGCCTTGGAATTCATTCCTAGTGTGGACATTCCTTTTCTCTTATGGAGTTTAAAAACTTAATGAAACATTTTTTTTTCATGAACTGTGAACACCTTTAAGCTTGAAATTGGTTGACGTTTTCCTCGACGATTCCGCTTCCTTTTGCTACCAATAACCTCAACCCAGAAATCCTCTAAACTTGTTTTATAGAGATATGAAAAAGATTGTGTGTGGGCCCGGCATAATCCATACCAGGTTCATACATTGTGCATTATGTGGATCTGCTACTGTGGATCCGCTATGTACATGTATATTCATAGGTCCACACAACGATGGCAAGGTTGGCGTTGTTGATGTTGAAGAGGCTGTGAAACTTGCTTCGCTTTTCTGCCGAAGAATGAACCAGCCCCCCCTCCCTTGCAAAAATGTGTAACCCCGTGTTTGCCCATCGTTGTGCCCCATCCTCAGGTGACTACTCCCCCACCCCGACATCCGTCATCGGGGCGTTACTGCGAAATCTGGAGATAAATGTGCGGCATTTGGCGCGAGACAAAGAGGAGGATTTGCGGAAGCTCTACAGCTGTTGGTGGTCCCGGCCCTTACCCGCTGACAAACCCTACAACAGACTCCTGTGCTTCGAAACCAAACTGTGAGGAAGTTCTTCTTATAAGGGTCAGGGAACATGTCCCAGCCTGAAGTGGTTGGAACATGTTAGTGGTGAAAGCTTCCAATCTAACTGTTGATCGCACACTGTCTCTACTGACAATAGATTATTAAGTGCTGTTTGTACAGCCTGTTTGATAATCAAATTGTCAACCTGAAATTGATAAAAACCCATCGATCCGCTCACATATCTAACCAGCTCAACATCTATAATAATGGAGCTTGAACACAGAAGACCAGTTCTTACCACAGGACTGAAGCTACCGGCAACATAATTTTGGAGTTTTTCTTCCGTAATTAACACAGAACCATCTCTGGTGGTTATGTATGCTTTATGAATATTATTTCTGTCCATAGTCTAACCACCTGAGAACATCCGTACACTGGCTGGTGACTGTAACATTACTGTTTTATATGGTTCCCCACACCACTTGCTAATGTAGCTGAGATTGACGTCAGGGGCAAAAGGAAATAAACTTCAGGACAATCAAAAGTTTCGAAACCTCAGTCTGAATTTTGTTAAATTTGAAATTTCCCCCTGTGCTTCAATACATTTTTTAGTGACTGAAATTCAGTTTTTAGCATTTTTGGCTCAACAATCGTCACTTGTCTTAGAACATCCAAATCAAAGAAAGCACTTTTCAGACGGTGTGGTAGTCTTGACCGCATGAATTTTGAAGAAACGACATTGGTAGATTTTTTTCAGTGTCGATGCAATGAAGTAAAATGGCCATACAGAAAGTCACTGACTCTGGTTAACTTTATATTGAATACCGTAAATGCAATTTTGATGTACATGTAACGAGTGACATTACGTTGTCATCAAACCAAAATGTCTTAATTGTCCAAAATTTAGGATTTTAGCACTTTTTGCCCAGCTAAGAAGTAGTGAACATCGTTTTTGATTAGTAAACTCTTTCATTTCGGTTTCGACAGGTTTGGGTCTCGGCGCCCCCAGGAGTTGGTTAGCGATGTGTTCCGCTGCCTGGTGCCCATACTCAACAACAAGGATGGCACGGTTATCACACCTCTTCTCAATACAGGGGACCAGGTAAAATGCTCATTTGAAATGAAATTGAAAATGAATTGAAATGAACACGGAATGCATTATAGCGTTGTGTGAACATTCCCTTCAGCTTAATGGTGAGAAATGAGCCCAAATTTTGATTGACAAGTTTCATTTACAAATATTCACTGACAGACTCTGAGAGTTGAGCTGACCGTCACAGACTTGTCGTTGAATTTACGTACTGGCCAGCTGCTCAGCGCTGCAATAAATGCAGAATTCAGGATTTTATCGTAAAGATTTAAATTTGCATCAGAATTAAAATTGTTAAAATGGCCCTGAAATGAACTCAGAAAAGGTTCTTAGGAATTGAACTGTGCAGGTACTTCTAGGTAAATAGCTCAATTGCTAAATGTTTAAAGGATCCAGGAAATCAATTTTTCTTAGAATCTTTTTTTGTGTATCTCTGTACTCTTCTGACTGTTTGACATCTTTTTTGAGTTACGTGAACTGAAGGGTGCACTTTTTCAAACATTAAAAATTGAGCGAGCATTTCTGGACAAGTGAGGGCGCTTTTGCTTTGATGAAAATCCAGGAAGACATGGTTCAGGTTACATGTTTTCATGTTCAAATTGTGAATCCCAAATTTGCTATCTGGGAACATTTCTGTGAAAAGGATTTTTTGCTGGATTATTGCCATATACTAATACACAGCAATAAATTGACAAAGAAAATGAAATCTGCGAAAGCAGTGGTTAAAAAAAACTAGAAATTTTCTGTGCACAAATCAGTGCAACATTGAAATTCAGTGCCTTGGATGACATCATAGTTCTGCTTATAAATTTGCAAATATACATTGGCATAAATACGAAAAAGCATCAAAATGTGGATTAAAATTACAAAACCAAATTTAAAATCAAGTTAATTGAATAGTAACATTTATAAAAACATTTCTTTTTCCTGGCTCCTTTAAATCACCTTTGGAGTGAAACAGAGCAAAGTTTAAAGATCATTGAAGCTCTGATCATTGAATGCAACTCTTGTGGACAGCAGGGCTTTCCCTGGCTAAAGTTTGTCCTGCCTACAGGCATGGGCCAGTATGCGTGCCTTTCAAGAGCTTTTATGACGGAACTTGTGGTGGTCTAGTGCGGGGTGCTTGTTCAGCATTTTTTCCCACAGTTAGGGAACCGCTAACTCTGATCGTTGGCATGAAGAGCTTCCTTCCTAAATTCCACCCGACACTGTGGTTTTTAAACTACTCATATCCAGTGGCCTGAAGCTTTCAATGAATGTTTTCACAGATGAATATTTCCTTTTTGAATATTGGCTTCAGTCATTATGGATGATATGTATTTTGGTGTGTGCTGAACAATTTAACCCCCATAAAAAAAATTTGAACCAGCAAGCCCCCCCCCCAAAAAAATTGAACCAGCAAGCATACATGTAAACCTGGAAATACATGTGTACCTTTCTTCATCATTGAATGCGTATATCATGATCCAATCAGAGTGTGAATAATGACTTTTTTCAGACTTTTTTATGTTGAGTTTCTCTTTTACTCCATGCGAGTGCATTGACGTGAATGTGAAAACAGCAAGTCACTTTTCAGTGACTGTGCAATGACTGACAATTCTGAATTTATAATGCCGCCAACGATGCCCATATACCGCTATACGGGTTTAGGTTGGCTGGCATGCACATCTATGGTGTTCACTCATACCATTTCCTCAGTGCCAAGGTCAAGATTAGCTTCCTGTTAAATTCCTTCTGGTCATGCTCTACGTACATGTGTAGGCAGCCCCTTTCAGACACTCGAGTCTTGACAGTGGATTCTGCTGGGTTTAGCAAGCCGCTGAAAATGGCCAGTGTTTGTGTCTCCTTATCTCTGCCAACTGCTCGCTCGATTCAGCAATGCAATCTTGACAAAAAAACATTGTCGGCCAGGACTGAGACGAGATCCAGTATTGGCGTCAACTTTTTTTTTTTCAGCCAATTGGTATCTTGATTTTATCTAAGGCTAAGTTGATTCAGTATCGTACCATGAAAGTATTTGTGTGTCGAAAAACACACCTAAGCTTCAACGTCCCACATAACAGCACAGTTTTTAGGGACATCACTGGCACTACGCCATACAAGGTTTAGCCACTCGTACGTGTAGGTCACGGTAATCGGTAATGGCTGTGGTGTGATGTGCCAACGCATTATTTCACCGCCACTGTCTAGTCCACTGCCGATGTGTCATACATGCATGCACCAGGATACGTGGAGAGCTGCAAAGTCAACTGTGTGTGTAGGTGTGTAGGAAGGGATGTGCAGGCATGGTAAACATGTACGTGTACATAGTGTGGACCTCTGCACAAAAGAAGTTCTCATAATGGAGGGTGCGATGGCATTGTGTGGACTCGCACATGTCCTCGCACTGTTTTCCCCTCTCTTCAAAACAGTTTCAGAGGCATTTTGGGGTCGAGGTTATTTGTGGCAAAATGAAGATTAAGAGTCCAGGAAATCATGATCAAAACCCCAGAAGTTATCCTAGTGGGAGAAAAAGGAGCATTTTCCCTGAGTTACCTTAACCCTAACACTCCTCAATCCTTCACCTGTTGGAAGACTGAGGAATGTTAGGGTTATTGAAAACAAAGGAATGTCCACACTTCATGCAGTGTCTGTTGACCAGCGTGGGTGGGTGTGTTAGTTTGCCTCAGATGACCAATATCTAAAACAAAATTTTTTTGGTGGGGGGGGGAGTGTCTATAAATCAAAGCTGACTTGCATTAATCATTGGCTCAGTGTTAAAAGGTACTTAAAATTGTACTTTTTACTTCAAAAAAATTCTCTTTTCTGAGCATAAAAGAAGTATTCTGTTGAAGCAGGCTGCACTTGTTCAACTGGTGTTTTTAAAATTAGTTCTTTTGGGGCCAATATATTTCAATTTCAACCAATTCTCTTGTCAAGATTCATGTTTAAAACAATAAATTTTCAGTAAGGAATTTTTTGCACTGAAGAATTTTAGATGAATTGAAAATTTGGGTGGAGAATACGGATATTGAAATGTATGTATGTACATACCTGTGTACATTTATTGGAGCATTGTTACCAGAAATGCAACTTTTAGGCCTAATCCTTTTGGCCTGAATCTAATTACTTCTGATATTTTGCTGTGAAGGGCTTTGACCAGGTGGTCATGTTGAAGGGGATGGTGGAGGCTGCTGTCAACTGGATGAAGGCCGGCTTGCCCCTGCGCATGCTGAAGATTGTCCTGTACTGCCAGGGCAAAGACGATGAGGCCATGGCAAAGGCCGCCGAGAGGGACTATTCCAGAGTTTTCAAGAGCTTTGAGGACCTGAAGGAGTGCTACATGATGAAGGACTTGACCCCCAAGGTACAGCAGAACGTTGCTTGTTCTCAGGATTCTGAGAGTCCACAGGAACAGGGCAGTGCATCAGTCATGCCTGAACAAGCCAATTCAGGCTTCAACTAATAACATTATGGGTTTTTTGCATGGTTGACATGAAAGAGAGGCTGGACTGGCAAATTTTTTTCCAACTTGAATGGATTCCCTCACAAGAGGGTAGCAACTGACTCCATATTTTGTTAAGTAACATACTAAAAGAACCTTAATTCATTACACATCAAGAACCTTAATTCATTACACATCAAGGTTCAAGGAGAGGCTGAACTGGCAAGCTTTTTTTTTTTGAACTTGCATGGTTTGCTTCATAAGAGCTCAGCAACTGACCCCATATTTGTTGCTTAACAAACTGAAAGAACCTTAATTCATTACAAAGTGGGGTTCAAAGAGAGGCCGAACTGGCAAGCTTTTTCCATTCATATAATTCCTTTATAAGACCTTGGCAACCGACCTCGGTCAGAGGCAAAAGAGCCTTCTTCACAGTTGCATTGAAAGAGAGGCAGCACTGGCAGGCTTGTTTCCACTTGGATGGATTCCTTCATAAGACCTTAGCATCCAACTGTATGTTAAGTCAGAAAGTGGAAGAACCCTCATGACACAGTTAGTTGACTGAGAGGCTGTACTTGCAACCTGCGGCCACTAATAAAGCTGAGAATTTTAAAAATTCAGACCTACCTGGAATGAACTGGAAGAGTTTCCATTTTGCAAATGTAGCCATGCTTTCATTTGAACATAGCAATTCAAACAAGGAATACAGTACATGTACATGTAGGGAATCAGGTCAACTTGCCCCCTGGCCGACTCGCCCCCTTGCCAACTCGCCCCCTGATAATCTCGCTCCTTACCATCTCACCCCTTTGCCAACTTTCCCCCAGATGAGTCGCGCCCCAGCCAAGTTGCCCCTTCGCGAACTCGCCCCCTGGCAAACTCGCCTCCTAACCAAGTCGCCCCCTCAGAGGAAAGTCCGCTGGTTTGGACCATTAATTACATTTCTATGTGTCCTTGCAGAAGGCGGGATAATAATCATTAATTATTATGAAAATAATAATGATGGTCGTAACTTGGTTATAATAAACAAGACGAACACAGCTTAACCCTAACACTCCTCAATCCTTCAACTGTTGGAGGACTGAGGAGTGTTAGGGTTAAGTTGAGAGCAAAGAGCATTTCATTTAAATTACATTTAAAGTGAGATTTACTCAAAATCAGTTGCACGGAACAATTTAAACACAAGTAGGTGGAGGTAATGATGTGCCCAGACAATGAATTCTAATAAGCTTTGCGTGCTTTACATTCAGGCTAGGGGGCGGGATGGTAAGGGGTGAGTCGGTCAGGGGGCGAGTTGGCCAGGAGGCGAGTCAGGAAGGGGGCGAGTTGGCCAGGGAGCGAGTTGACCTGTAACTATGAAATGTATGAGAAATTTTATAAAATCAAGCTACTTTAGAAAAGTTGAGTTTTCCAAGATGGTTCTTTGCATGCACATAGCTTTTGGATGGAGGATAGTAAACTTTTACCTGAAAGGATAATAGAAGTTGCTCAAAGTTCGAATTGAAAGTCCGTATGCTGCCTTAAAGGAGCAGTCCTGCTTCAATATTAATCATCTACCAGTCATTTCCAGTTATACTTCCGTCAACAGCCCTGGAAGAGTAACTTGTAACACAGAATTCATATCATAAACAATGAGTCAGTACGCATTTGTAAGTCTTTTCCATCACAAAGACGCCTCTTGAATTGTTTACTGGATTATATATTTTTACAAGCTTTGAAAATATTGAATTACATGTATATTTTTAGACCAGTCTTAAAGAAAAGAAAGGAAGCATACATGGGTATATTGACAGGAAATATTGAGTGAAAATTTTGAAGAGAAATCCTCAGAAGAGGAATTGGTTTTTTTGGGGGGGAGGGGAAGTCAATTTTTTTTTATTTTTCAGATTTTTAAAATTCAGACATTTCAACATCCATTTTTTGATCATTTAGTTTTGAGAGGCTAATCATGAATAATGTAATATAAATTGCATCTTACGATGAATAAATGAAAATGTTTTTTAATTGAGCTGTTTATGTTAAGGATACATGTATATCAGAGTTTTTCTTGCCCTAGCAATTTAGAGAGAGAATTATGTATATTGATATATAACAGTAACCAGCTTGCCACAATAAAGAACTTTGTTATTCATTACACCCCCTCTTCTGGTTGTCCCTTCCTTGAAGCAATAATTGTGTCACTGCCCTGAAAAGTTGAAATTGATCGACATTTATTAAAATGCTGAACTTAAGCGAAAATGTGTCCCTGACCTCTGACCTCGGAACATAAGCCTTAAAAATTGCCTGTTAGGTTCATAACCATTGATTGTCTGGAAGAGTTTGCATGTTTTTAAACCTCGCTATTATTGACAGTGTACTTACAGCTCTTTTCTTTGGTTAGATAACTTTCTGGCATTTTGTTGGTTGTGTTTTTATAAAGATTTAAGTTATAGAAATAAGTTTATCTGATTTGTACAGATATTTTTTGTTGAAAGGTTAATTTGACATTTTTGTTTTTGTTTGGGTTCTGTGTGTGTATTTGCCTGGTGCCCTGCAAACCATAGGAAGTCACCATAGATTTTGACGTCTACCTGTCCTTCAGCCAGCATGACACAAAGGTCGTTGACCTCATCACCGACAAACTGCACTCCAACAAGTCGGACATCCGCATCTTTGACAGCCGCCAAATGATGAACATGGACTCGGTGTGGCAGGAAGACATGTATGACGTCATGATGCACAGTGCTAGGGTCATCACAGGTAAGAAACGACAGGTTTTCTCAAAAAAAAGAAAGAAAATGAAAGGAAACGTTGTCCGCAAACATGAAAAAGATCAAATTTGTGGTTTTGCCTCACCCAGTAATAGGAACGTTTAGATGCACGTAATATGCAAGTTTACAAGAATGCAAATGTGACAATTTGTTTATCGCGCATGGGTGGGCGGGCGTCAAATGCCTGTTTGAACAAACTGTAGGGCCTGCATCTTTCCCTTTAATAAAAGGACAAATGATCAATCTCGTCCAGTAAATCTCTCACAAGAAGTTTAACCGGTCATCATAAACCAAGCATGAAAAAATACCACTTGCATTTCCTATTTGTCATTATTTCATATCAGCAAATGTTCAGTGCATAATCGTAAACCTTCTGAAAAAGCTGTAGTTTGTCACGTTTTGATCCAACATGAATTTCCCATATTTCACATATTGGACGTCCCTGCGAACTACCCGTACGTGAGAGACAATATGCACAAAACAAAGACGTCAGCAGGAGTCCACACTTTTTTCGCGTTCACGTAGAAACGTGCATCTATACCTCTCTGTTTATGGAACATTGCAACATTCAGCACAGTGTTGTGGAGACCATCACAAGACCTTACACAAGACGAAGTCATAACAGAGTGAGCAGTGACATAGGACTGCTTTTGGCACCGTTCATTTGAATAGAATGTGACTTGAATTCAGACTGGAGGTCTTATGTTGGTCTTGTGATTGTCTCCTTGGGTCGTGCGATGGTCTGAAGAGGTCTCGAAAACAACAATGATTCAACCATCAGGACATTTTGTTGGTAAAAAAATTTCCCCCACTTGGTTTCTTTTTGTAGGCCAATGAAAGCAAAGAATGTGAAAGCTCACCAACAGTGCTAGAACTAGTAATCAGCACTTCTGCCGCCTGCCTTTTTCGAAACATTTGTTGGCCAAAAAATAAAAATAGGCCATATTTTCTCAACAATAACCCCACCCCAATGACCACCTGTATAGAATTGTTTAGATGCTCAACATTTGTTCTGATTTGACGCTCACAACCAGCAACGGTTAAAAGAATTCAGAGTTTATGTGACCAGTGACCCTTGTAGATGATTTGTTCTAAGGCCCATCTCAATTTGTCATTTCAATTTTTGTGTAATTTTCCTATACAGTCTTGACGCCTAACTACCTACAGTGCACGGCCTGCATAGAGCAGTACAACATCGCCATGTGCTGCTCCCGCAAAGCTATGAGGAATATGCTGGCGCCATTCTACGTCAAGGAGAGCCCCCTGCCTACGTACATGACACAAGTGCAGTATGTAGATTGCAGGTAAAAGAATTACACTTTAACCTGAACCATGCTGGACCCAACAAGGTTATGCAGCATTTCAGTGGTCCCTAGTCAACCCAGCAAGGTTATGCAGGATTTCATTGGTCCCTAGTGAACCCAGCAAGGTTATGCAGGATTTCAATGGTCCCAAGGGGGTTAGGGTTAACCTTAACCATGCTGGACCCAACAAGGTTATGCAGCATTTCAGTGGTCCCTAGTCAACCCAGCAAGGTTATGCAGGATTTCAATGGTCCCTAGTGAACCCAATAAGGTTAGGCAGGATTTCAATGGCCCCAAGGGGGTTAGGGTTAACCTTAACCATGCTGGACCCAACAAGGTTAGGCAGCATTTCAGTGGTCCCTAGTCAACCCAGCAAGGTTATGCAGGATTTCAATGGTCCCAAGGGGGTTAGGGTTAACCTTAACCATGCTGGACCCAACAAGGTTAGGCAGGATTTCAGTGGTCCCTAGGGGGTTAGGGTTAACCTTAACCATGCTGGACCTGACAAGGTTATGCAGGATTTCAGTGGTCCCTAGTGAACCCAATAAGGTTAGGCAGGATTTCAGTGGTCCCAAGGAGGTTAGGGTTAACCTTAACCATGCTGGACCTGACAAGGTTATGCAGGATTTCATTGGTCCCTAGTGAACCCAGCAAGGTTATGCAGGATTTCAATGGTCCCAAGGGGGTTAGGGTTAACCTTAACCATGCTGGACCCAACAAGGTTAGGCAGGATTTCAGTGGTCCCTAGTGAACCCAGCAAGGTTATGCAGGATTTCAATGGTCCCTAGGGGGGTAGAGTTACCGGGTAGCTGCAATTAATTTCTTTGAATGCACCTTGAACATTATTTCTCCATCATTAGTGGCAAAGACAGAGGTCCGACTTACAAACCAGAAGAACTCAACTTATACCCAATAAACCCTCTGCAAACAACTACACGAATGCTGTCTCCAGGGGACATTGTGGCCAGGTTACAAAGTACCCTCTGTCACATACAGAGCGTGTACTCCTCAATGTATTGACTATTCACTTGAATTGTTGATTCTTGAAGGAGAAAAATGACTTTCGGAAAATGCATCCTTCTTAGAATATTTGTCGTTCTACTAAGCACAATGCATGGAGTTCTTTTAGTTGAGTAGCTTTATCATTTTTCTGTTTTAACCTTCTGTGAAAAAGATAACACATTGACATCACCGGATTGAGAACGATTAGTTTGTTTATTCCTCGGCTAAGTGGGATTAGGGTTGGCTCGCTTGGCAGCCAGTCTTCAGTCTTGTGGAGAATTTTCATTGCATTGACTATTTGCGCTTGGGTTTTGAGCTTTGACGGCATCAAAATGCCAAAGACTATAAGGGCAAAGACCAATTATACTGACAGTGTGATAGACTGTTGTGACGTGACTGTATTCCAAGGAGAAATTGTGCAAATTCTGATGAAAATTGAATGTGTTTTCCGAGTGAATGCATCACGTGTATGCCCACTGGCTCTCGCAGTGCAAGTCCCCGACCAGCGAATCAAGTCTACATCACAAAGTAGCGTTTTTGGTGAGTAATGCTCAACTTTAAGTTTTGCGATGGCCTTCACAGATCGAGTGTCACCGAGCGGATCGGAGAGGCCTGTCACCAGGTTGTCATCTCCTTGAGCGTCACCTTGAGGGCTGAGCCCCAGATGGATCCCTCCCTCCAGTATGACGTCTTTGTCTCTTACTCTCACGCTGACTCAGAGAGGGCCAACCACATCGTGGCGACGCTGAAACGTCTCAACCCTGACCTGCGGCTTTTCTTCGACATACAGGAGCTAAAAACAGGTATGATTATTAAAACAACAGCATATCAGTAGCAGCAACCTCTTCTGTTGGAGCTGAAACACTTTTATGATAGTTTACTCCACTAGTTGTGTCTTTAAGAACCCCACTATCCAAAAACTTCATTTCCTTCATCATGTAAACCGTCAAATCTCATCTCATGTTAATTTCAATTTTGTGTTTTTACTTTCACGTGTTTAACTTCATAACTACTGTATACTTAGTGCTGAGCAAGATGAGGTTTTCTTGAGCTCAAGTATTCTGGTACCAAAGATCTTTAGCAAACTGATATAAATTATGATGGATTTTGATAAGTCAGCATGCTATCCGTTGGGTTATTAGGCTTAAACACACAGTGTAGCACTAGTTTGGTCAAGAACCACTAGTTCACTAGTGGTTGGTTTGTGACGTACGTAGTGCATGTGCAGTGAAGTTGAAGTGCGAACGACCCTAGTAAACTGTTGTTAGGTCATTTTAAAGAGCAACTTAAAGGAAAACATGCTTTCTCTGATTTTATCTGTTGAAATAAATATGGAAGCATCCAAATCTCAAACAAGCTAAAAGGGGCTTTTTTCTGTTCACACCATGGTGCAAATTCTGAATGTAGTTTGCGTCATTCTGAGAAAACAGAAAAAACGACGTGAACTGTTGCCCTGTGTTCGTAGTGGATAAACCCTTATGCATGCCAAGCGTTGCATGTAGCCATTGTTTGTAGCCCTTGTTTGGCATGTGCAAGGGTTTATCCACTACGAGTAAAGGGTGAGGGTTCACCTCTTTTACTCCGTTTTCCCAGAATGACGCAATCTACATTCAGAATTGGCATCATGGCATGAACAGAAAAAGAGCCCTCTTTAGCTTGTTGTAGTTGAGCTCTGACGACAAATGTCACTGCGTTTGATTTATATTTATTTGAACAGACAAAATCAGGGAAAACATGTTTTCCTTTGAGTTGCTCTTTAAGGCGAAGGGGAGAAAAGGTGGCTGCAGGAAGGGCAAAATAGCAAAAATAAAAGTGAAAATTTGGGCACGGAATTCCAAATAGTCTGTTACCACCCCCATGTGACTGATGACACAGAATAGGGGCTTTGCGTGGTAGCCATCTTGTAAGGCAGTTCTTTTGTTCCACAGGGAAACCTCCTTTGTGCATATCCTAGTGAACAAAAGAACTGTCCTGTAAGATGGCTGCCATGCAAAGCCTCTATAAGATAGATGCAGGGAACATGAACAAAATACTTCCTTGCTACTAAGGGTCATTCTCGTAAGATTTCTTCAATGGCTTTGCTGTTGTTTTTCCATTGACAGGTAGCGCATGGCAGCGCACGTTGTACCACTCCATTGATGGCACCAGGGTCATGCTCGCCCTTATCTCCAACAAGTATCTCTCCTCCGCTGTGTGTCAGGAAGAGTACAACCTGGCATTGGCCAAGCACTGCTCACAGGTAAGCCTGAAGTATATCATAAGTTTGTGAGAAGTCCCGTCGCTCGTTAGCATCACTGGAAAGGATGCGTGCATTTCAGTAGCGATGATCTTGTGTCATTGCACTGTACGGTGGTCCTTGGTCGTATGTCACGCCCTGAACCGACAAATTACAGTAACTGTGCGTGCATGTCATGTTAAGGCTTGCATACTCTTCTCATGGCAATTTGCCAAATAGATCTATGCATCATTGGAATTGGCCGACTGTCATTGTTTTTGTCCAAATGACAGCTTTTGCCAGAAAGAAATCTTTCACAGGGAGTTTAGTCCCAGAATCATCTTTAAACCGAATGTGCTTTTCAACAGTAAATTTGGTAGTCACTTTTTGGATAACGTTAAATGATTGAATGTACCTTTAGGTTTGAAACTTGCTTTTCACATCCAAACGACATGGTGCAGTATTCATGCTGTTTCAAATTAACTTCCCGAACCCCAGATTGATAGTTTAAAACAGAACTGGCCCAACTAGTGCAAGTTTAAGTGACATGCCTGAGATTTGTCAGGGTTATAGATCTTTGAAATATCAGCTAGCCTTTCCGTGGATTAACTATCTACCTCAATTCTGCTGTGCATTTTTTTCCGTTCAGTCGTCATCTCTCAAGCTTGTCCCTGTGTGCATCGAGGACATCTATGGGGTCGCTGCAGAGTTCACCAAGGTCAAGATGGTGAACGCCAAAGGAGGAAGGTTTCAGGCAGCAGTGGACGCCACATGTACGGCCGTTGTCGATTGGCTCGCCGACAAAGACGTCCCAGACAACGGCAAGGAACTCTTTAGACAGGATAAGGTATGTTTAAAAAGCCTATTTTTTCCAAGTTTAAAATCAGTTTGAGTGACAACTCATGACATGGAATAATGATCATCAGAGTCAGCGGGAAATTATTTGACATCTCTGTCACTCAACAAGAGGATGGCAACGTTCAGATTCTGTTTTCAGTGCCGATGTTGAATGAAGGAGGAAAGAACATGGGGAGAAATTAATGATGTAAGCGTGTCTACTGTGCATGGAATCCCATCCAATAGGTTATTGCTGTTTTACTGAACGAAACAAGAACGACAGAAAGACGGACTTTTTTTCGGTGCTAATATAAAGTGACAAGAAATGTGGATACTTGAAGTCTTTTGTTGGGCATCATATGTGTGGCCTAATCTTAGGGAGAGAAAGGTATTAAGATGTTTGATTTAAATTGAAAGTTCCAAATGTGCATTCATGAGTCAGTTTCGTTTCGGAAGGTTAGATGTTATATTTACACTGGCATTTTGTTAATGATCCGAAGTAAAGTGTATGGACATTTTCTTCATTCCAGAATTTAGCAGCTGATGCAGACGTAGTCACTGAGAGCCAGAGATATGTTCAATTCAAGAAGCAATATGGCACTAAGGATGCGCTGCTTCCAAAGACAGGGCGCTTTGTGACAGCCCTCCCTAAATCGGTGCCTGCACGCCCGGAAAAGTCTGAAGGTGAAGATGAGGCTAGCAAGTGTGACGTGGCTTTCAGCTTCGCCGAGGAAGACGAGAAGTACGCTCAGCACCTCGCAAAATTGCTCATGAGAGTCAAAGGCATCATGGTCAAAATGAAAGCCACCTCGGACCACGAGCGACTGGCGCTGATGGACCAGGCCAAGCACGTGGTGGCCTTCCTGTCTCCCCACTACACCCACTGCTCAGAGAAGTGCGAGGAGTTCAATATCATCCTCTCACGCCAGCGCCTGTCCCGCGGGCGCATCCTGTTCCCCGTGCACCTGCACGTGCTGCCGCAGCAGCCGACATACTTCCACCTGGTGCCGTCTGGTGTCAACGCCTCAGACAAGCTGTGGCCGGAACTTTGCACAATTCTGAAGACTGACAGGGACATGTATGTGCTGGAGAAGCACACCAATAACATTTCCCTGCCTACCGAGTTGGCCCTCCAAGAAGCAGCCTGTCAGATACTACAGGAAATACAAACACAAAGGTAGCATGATTATTAAAGCTGGTCCATAGCGAACTATTGCATGATTTACCAGTGATGCTCAGGGATCATCTTAAAAAGCTATTCCAGCGACCAGAATTAGAAGCCATCACCGTAGCCCCATCCAGTTCACATGAAGTTGCTACGCAAATGGTATATTGCTGTCGGACCAATGGGGCGTTGTGACTTGCCAAAATGCACATATGCGCGCTCAGGTTAAGACCCCCGCATGTGTGTGATGACCCTGCAAGAATGGCGTCTCCTCTATATAACCAGACGCCTGTTTGACTGACTAAATTGTAATCCAGGAAACTGCACATTTGTAAATGGCTTCCTCGGATGTGCAAGCGTAAGTTAATCACATTGAAAGGTTCCCAGGTTGAAAGGTCAAACTGTTGAAGGGATTTTCCGGGCTGAAATTGCAGAGTAATTGAGAGCATGTCGTCATGGTAGTGTTCTAAAACAGGGCAGCTCGTGTGCAACTCTTTTGGTTTCAATAAAATTTACATGAACGCTTCTTGTATGATGCTAACACATGCAAACTTGATTCCTTGACACAGGACCTCTTCCCTGCCATCCTCAGAGGAAGTGAAGGCATCGCCGACCCTGTTGAACGTCAACAAAGTCCAATACCAAGTCGACCACGCGTTCACTACAGACACTGATTCTGTTGGAGAGGTGAGTTCTCTATAAATGTTTGAGAGCAATAAAAACCAATGAAAGATTGGGTTTTATATGTGACGTTAACCCTAACCCTCCTCAATCCTCCAAAATCCTTCGGGTGGTTTTGAAGGATTTTGGAGGATTGAGGGTGAATGGCAAAAGTGCATGGCTGATTGCGAAGGATGTCATGCATGAAGGTTGTGGGTTAGACCTTGTGTTGTTCTTGCTTAGTCATGCATTAATCAGCCCGATATTCCTTTTGAATCAACCGCACTGCTCAAGAATGCCATTTGCACTGCCTCAACATAATGACAGGAATTGCCAGAGGATTTTGAAGGATTGAGGCAGTAGGCACACCTCCAAGTAACATTTTCAAGAAATTTTGGAGGATTTGGAAGGATTGAGGGAGAATCCGACTTCCCCCCCCCAAAAAAAAATTGGAGAATTTTGGAGGACTGAGGAGGGTCCCTAGCAAAAGGGGCCTTGGAGGCTAGGGTGAATATACGTCATAAATTGCTACATTGGGACTCATGGCAAACTAAGATGTCGAAAAATTGACCTGTAAAGGATGTGTGGAAACTTGTAGCCTTCATATTGATATGTGAAGTAAGCCCAGCAAGTTGAAAATGAACAGTCTAGGGTTGGGGGAACTGCAATCAATTTGTTTCCTTACAAAGGTCCAAATTGCACCGTAGCGTCTCAGCTGGCCTAATTTTCAACTTAACTTTCACACTGTCAAACAGGTATTTTCCTACCTTTTTGGTTTCTAAGGTAATGAGTATTTCAATATTCATGAGCAAAACTGTGATGTAATCTCAAGGAGAAAGCTCAGTGTTACACCGATTTGTACACAATGAAGTCCTGCCTTTTTGTGGATTTTTCGGGAGTCAGTTCTCTCTTTTTTGCTGAAATATTGTTGTTCATGTGCGTAGCAATAAGCAGGCATCCATCCCTCAGTCAGAAATATTTTCATTAAGTAAATTCTAGGCTCACAATTTGAAGAGAAACACCTATGCACTGAACCATGTGCCTTCCCAAAATGACTTCCCAGTAACAGCGCCCTCAGTTGTCCAGGAAACGACGGATAATTTTATGCGTCTAAAAAGGTGCATTTTCAGTTCTTTTAACCAAATAGGAATGTAAAAGCGATTCCATACATTAAAGGGAAGTACAGAGCTTCAGAAAAATTATCTGTGGCTTCCAATCAGATCAATCCAACATTGAATGTCAAGCTTCGTATGTCATCTCCAGTAAACTGCCAAAATGATTGAGCACTCGGAGATTTGTGGACAATTTCTTGAAGAGTTGCTTGGAGTCCAAATTTCTTTCCGTTTGTCTTTTGCTTCTCAGTACTTACTGTCGTTAACGCTAGATGAGGAGGAGACAGCAGATGCACAGACATTAAATGATATGAAGGTGGTGGAGCACTCGCAGTCCCCTGTACAAGCTCAGCCAGATCCTGTCGAAGAAGCCCCTAGCCAGACAGAATTGGCTGTTACCAGTTCAAAGCAGCCTGAAAGCTGCACTGAAGAACCGGTCTTAACCAGTTCAAAGCAGCTTGAAAGTTGCACTGAAGAACCGCTCTTGACCGGATCTCAGCCAGGCAGCACCACTGCACATCAGCCGGGTGGAACCAGCGTGGAACTAGTCAGGACTGGTTCTTATACCGGCAATGCAAAAGAAGAATGCAGCCACTCCGACATAGTCAGACTAAATGAGGCTAGAAAACACAAGGGCAGTAGATCTTGTGCCTTAGTTTGAGACATTAACCTTTGACCCCTACCATGTTGCAGTTAATTAAATTTTTTGTTAGAACACAAAGAAACTCAAATTTACCGGTAAGACCTATCAGTCGAGTGACTCACCTTTCATAGACTGATGTTTTAAAGCTGTGGAAGCATCTTCCAGTGAATGTTTACAGTGGCTGCTACTTGTTAAGATATAATGAATGAAATATTTTCCAAATGTCTCCTGTTAAGTACATGTATTGATGTACTTTATTCTGGATTATTGTAATCATAAGTGCTGTGATGTAATTTACTAAGAAAAGTGCCCTGAGCCTTACGGACCCTGGTGGATCCCCCATGACTTTTTATTCCGATGTCGCTGCTGTGCTTTTTTTCTTTTCGTGAGCCGAGGTGTTAGGATTTTTTGAGTAACTCTTGGACACAGATTTTGTGAAAATCAAAAATGCTGTTCTTGTGCAGCGTCCATTTTGCCAAGAGAGATCAGCCCACAATGTATACTTTTTCCACTGCCATGTTCAATGCACGCGCGCTGGCACACGTATGGCTTGGAACTTCCAATGACCGTAACAGCAAAACCCAGTGTTGGAGTCGAGAACATCACAAGACCAGACACAAGACCATGCACAAGATCATGCAC